TAGCACTTCCAGAAGTGCTACAGCAAATCTGAATAGATCAGACGCATCAGATTGACGCAGCAGCAATTATTACTGCATCAAAACACTTGCCATGTAATCCGGAGCTGAGATCACATCAATTTCATTTTAGCGCTTTCAGACGTGCTACAGCAAATCTCACTCGATCAAACGCATCCGATTGACGCGGCGGCAGTGATCATTGCATCAAAAAACAAGCAACGTAATCAGCAACTTAGACATCAAATCAAATGATTTTTAGCGCTTCCAAAAGGTGCTACAGCAACTCTGATTCGATCAGACGCATCCTACTGACGCAGCGGCAATGATATTTGCATCAACGCAACGTAATTTGTAGCTGAGATATCATATCAATTACATTTTAGCGCTTTCAGACGTGTCACAGCATATCTAATTCGATCAGATGCATCCGATTGACGCGGCGGTACTGATTATTGCATCAAAAGGCACGCAACAAAAATGGCTGCTACGATATCAAATCAACTGCGTTTTAGCGCTTCCAGACGTGCTCCAGCAACTCTTTTTTGATCAGACGCATCTGATTACGGCGGCGGCGATGACGTTTGTATAAAAAAGCACGCAACGTAATCAGCAGATTAGATACCAAATTAAGTGCGCTTGATTGCTATCAAACGTGATACAGCAAATCGGATTCAATCAGACGCATCTGATTGACGCTGCAGCAATGATTATTTGACAAACACGCAACGTAATAAGCTGCTTAGATATCAAATTAAATGCGTTTGATCGCTGTCAAACGTGGAACAGCAATCTGATTCGATCAAACGCGTCCGATTGACGCGGCAGCAATATCATTGCATCAAAGAGCAGGAAATGTAATCAGCATGACAGATATCAAATCAAAGCTATCGATCGCTATCAAATGTGCTTTAGCAGATTTGTTTCGATCAAACGCATCCGATTGACTTGGCGACAATAATATCTGCATCAAAAACACGCAACAAAATCAGAAGCTGATATATTATATCAAATGCGTTTTAGCCTAT